AACAGAAAAAAAAATATATATAGGACGATATATTTAATGGAAAGGAGGAGATGGAGGTGGAGAAAGAGGAGGAAGAGGAGCAGGAGGACGAGGAAGCACAGCAACAACATCAACATCAACATCAACAACGATTCTAAAAAAAACCGGAGCAACGTTTATTACCGATGATTTACCGAAGTACAATCCGTAGTGTTCCTTGATGACTATCTTGTAAAAACAAAAAAAAAAAAAAAGAAAATACAGTGAAGTTAAAGAAACAAACAAAATACACTTGGACGATTGAAAAGTGCGATAAACTATTAGGAAATTATATATAAGTAAAAATAGTGAATGTTTTTTTTCCATCTAAGAATTCATTCAAATGAAATATGTAATTTGGAAACAATGACAACAACAATAACAGCAGCAACAAAAATATTAATAATAATAATAACAACAACAACAACAACAAAAACAACACTTTTCTCTAATTAATGGAAAAAAATTCCGTCGAATTTTATATCGGCTTTTAGAATGATACGGGGTGCACAAAAATTATGTCTAATTTTTTTTGCACCTGATTATATTGTACATACATAGACTAAGAGACAGAGAGAGAGAGAGAGAGAGAGAGAGAGAGAGAGAGAGAGAGAGAGAGAGGGAGATAGAATGTATGTGTTTATCTTGTGTGTGTAAGAGAGTGAGAGAGAACGAGAATAAGAGTGTGAGAAAGATTTGTGTGTGATCTATTAAGATAAAATTATACATATATACGTGTATAAATCATATATATATATATTATATATATATAAATATATATATATATATATATATATATATATAAAATAATTATGTATGTTAGGTTGATGATAATTAATATTATTCTTAGAATATAAGGGTACACATATATCCAGTTTGTATAAAAGAGACAAGGATTTACATGCCACATTGAAGACAAGCATGTCATCTTTACTCTGCCTTCTCTACGAAATAGCTATTAACAGAGATAACATTGTTTCGTATTACCCCATGATCCTATATCCCCCTACAACCCCAAGACCGCTTTTTATTTTCTTTTTCTATTTTCTTTTTTTTTTTTTCTTTTTTTTAAATCTTTTATTTCTCACGAATTTTTCAATCTATATAACTACGTCTTATTTATTTTTCTTAGATACTTAATTACTTAATTATTATTATTATATATATATTAATTAATTAATTAATTAATTATTATTATTATTATTATTAAATACGTTTCTTTTTTATTTTCCATAAAAATAAATAATAATTTTTTAAATATCTGAGACACGAATTTAAACTTTTTAGCTTTAATCTTTTGATGTATGTAAATTTCTGTTTTGAATAAATGAATTATTGGAGGATACTTATCTTCCCCTCCCTTTTTTTTTTCTTTTCTTTTTCATTTGTCTTAACATAAAATTTATTTACGCTAACGAAGAATGTTATATGTAATTTTAAAACGTAAATCATCAAAGTGTCTCTTTTTTTCTTTTTCTCTAATCATTTTCTTAGTCTAGTTATATTCACAAGCGGTTTACAATGTATAAATAAAAAAGAAAGAAAAATAAAACAAAAAAATAAAAATTATATATATATATATATATATATATATATATATATATATAAAAAAATAAATCTAGAGAAATAATTTTACCTTAGATATAAGAACTCGCGTATCGCGTTTGATGCAAGTCGATGCGTAAAACTTTGTACAATGACATAATTGTTAAGAAAAAAAAAGGAATACTATTAAAAAGAAGTATCAACAATTACTACTACTACTACTACTACTATTACTACTATTATTACTATTAATACTATTACTACTATTACTATTATTACTATTAGTGCTAGTATCACTATTACTACTACTATTACAACTGACAATGATGGAAAAAAATAGAAAAATAGATTTGAACTTTCAGTTTCAACATGGACTCTATTCTCAAGAGTGTCTTATTATTATTATTATTATTATTATTATTATTATTATTATTATTATTATTATTATTATTATTATTCTTATTATTATTATTATTATTCTTATTATTATTATTATTATTCTTATTATTATTATATTATTATTGTTAGTTAATTAGTATAGCGGCGCTAAGCACAGTGTGTTTTAAATATTTACGTATGAAGCATAAGTAAATCGTTGACGACGTTGTCCGATTGATATATAAAAAAAAAAAAAGGAAAAAAAAATTAAATAAATAAATAAAAATAAAATAAATGTAATTTATGTTCGATACAATTTTTCAATGAAATATATAAAAAATGGAGAATGAGAATGCGTATGAGAATGAGAATGAGAGTGAGAATGAGAGAGAGAAAGACAGAGATAGATATAGAAATTCGTTCGTCGTCTACGATCAACGTATGCAACGAATCATTTAAAACAGGCTGTGAAATAATAAATAAAAATAAATAAAATAAAATAAAATAAAAAAAAAAAGAAGTAGAAGAAGAAAAAGAAGACTCGACGAAACATTTGCGT